CGTTAACTATTGCGAAAATTGCAAAATGTTTCAGGACTTTTCTGTTCATCTCGATCCGTTCTACCTTCTCACGAGCTCGTGGACAAATGTTATAACTTACCCTGTATACTACAACTAGATCGCTAACTCCTACTGATTTTGTACATAAAATGTGTCCTCGAAAACTATGTAGTATGGCGGTCGCACATGCGTAACGTTGGTAGAAAGCGCATGCGTAACGTTGATGTAGAAAGCGCCAGCACAATATGACAGATAACCTCGTGGGCTGGATCGAGATTTAAGTACGTATTATTGGAAATTCTTATAATGTATTCCGTTCGGGAGTTCGATTCTTGAATCGTTATCATGGAACACGTACGTGAGAACTCTACTCTTACAGAGGAATTGCAAGTCGATTAAATAAAAGCCATGCAAATATCCGTTCAACTTTCAATTCCTTTGTGAGGACAGAATTTTAGCGTACGTTTCTTTTGCAAATGATTCAAGAGTCAAGCTCTAGAATTATTTACTTATTTTCTAGCTAGTTTCTCGCGCGAGAGGTTATAGCAAAACGTCGGCCAACCTTCCTGAACATGACCGTACATAACATTAACCAATTAAAACGCGACTGCTGTCTATCAACGTTGCGCATGCGCAAGAATTCAGTACATAGATTTTGGGGCTATGTATTTGACGGGAGTTAGCGATCTAGTATATAGTATAGATATTTGTGATTTTGATCCACTGAATCTGAACCCGAGGTCAGAATTGAACAATTACTAGCTTTAACGTCCTTAACATCAAAATCTCATAATTTCACGAAACGGGCACTTTTGCTATACGTACCCACCCCTCGGTCTGCGGAACTAAAATAATATGAGCATTTTTTTGTTAGTATTTTGACCCGCTGAATACGAATCCGTGGTCAGATATGCTCCATCAGGTCTTAAATCCTTCCTAAACTAAAAAAATGCATTAAAGTTCCCCTAAAAACTGCTTCTTGAGCTATTTTCTTGATTTATAAAATTCTACTATAAAATTCTTGATCAATCAAGAGTCTGCTAAAAACGATTTAATTTTTTATTTTAAGTAGGGTATAAGTTTTTTTTACTTCGCAAAACAGTCTATTAGACCTGCAAAAACAATTCAGTTACTACCTCTGCTTGTGATATCGGACTCTTTTACTCTCAAAGACTCTGTGCAATGGTTTTCTCTTACGTTTCTTTCCCCCCGGTGATATTTTATTTTTTGCACCATTTTATAGCAATACATTACATATTTTTTGGGAAACCCAATTATAATACTTTCTTGATTTGCAATTTCTAAGCCAAAACATCAACAACCATGTAACATTTCTTTATTTTTGCAATTGTATTCCTTCGATTCTTCGAAATCTCATATCTGTTACAAATATTGCAAAAAGTGTTTGGATCTTTGCTACATTTGTGGTATGATGTTGCTTCCATACCTTGAGCTATATGATGCAATAAATGCAATACGCAAAGAAATTGATAACCATGCGATATGGGTTTCTATAGATGAAACGACTGATGTAACTGGAAGAGCTATAGGTAATGTTGTTATAGGAACTTTAGAAAAAGATAATCCTAAGAAGAAATTTTTTCTCCATTGTCAATAACTTACCGAAGTTAATAATGCAACAATTGTTTAATTATTTACTACGTTTTTAAAGTTATTGTGGCCTGAGGGTATAAAATATGAAAAAGTTTTGCTTTTTGTAACAGACGGTGCTGCATATATGAAGAAAGCAGCGACAAACCTATTCACCATGTATCCAAATATGATTAATGTTACGTGTGTCATACATGGACTGCATAGAGTAGCAGAAGAAATCAGGGCATATTTTCCTGATATTGTCATTTTTTATTAATATTTTCTGTTAAAAAAGTATTTTTAAAGGCACCCTCGCTCGTTAAACAATTTTAAAAAATTGCACTGGATTTGGCATTACCATCACAACCAATTTTAGCTCGTTGAGGCTCGTGGTTAAAAGCCGCTAAATATTACGCGGATAATTACGCAACAATAAAATTAATTATTGAAACGCTTCCAACCGATGTTGCTTCGATTAAAGCTACAAAACAATGTTTTAATCGTAATCTCGAAGAAAAATGGCATACGATTAAAAATAATTTTACTAGTATTATCTCGGCGATGACACAATTAGAAAAATCTGGAATAGCTTTATGTGATTCTCTTCGTATTCTAACAAAAGTACTTAAAAATATCGAGCAGCCTCACATTCCAGATAAGATTAAAAATAAACTGATTATAATATTAACAAAGAATAATGGTTTACAAAATTTAATTAAAATGTCCGAAAGTGGACAGCCAGACGTGCTCCTAAAATTCGAACAATTGGCCCTTTTAGCATACGCACCTATTGTCTCATCTGAAGTAGAATGCACTTTTTCACGCTTTAAAGCAATATTAACAGACAGACGTCAAAATTTTACATTTAATAACTGAAGTCAATATTTTGTTACACACTTTTACAGATCTAATAAATAATTATACACAATACACATACACAAATTATTGTATAAGTATATTTTTGTACTCTCCGCAACGGTGTCCCCTTTGCTACGTCAGACTGGCGCGGCGCGGCGTAGACGGTACTGCTTCTTACGGCGCTCGGCCGCTAGCACGCGCTTGGAGTGGAGAAAACGGCACCGCGATCCGGTCTTTGCTCATCAGACTCAACATTAAGGGGTTACAAGACTCTAGAATCCAAAGAAAAACGCCAATCTTTGGTGCAACTTTCGATTTTCTAACGCGCACCAGTTTTACAAAAATAAAACGGTATTTCGCAAAATTTGTACGTGGTTCTATAGAAAATGTTACATATTTTTTAAAAATCGTTGGTTTTTGTTCTACCTCAAAAGGTGAGGGAACTTCGTTTCCTCCCGTAGGGCGACTTCCTCAAAGAGCCACTTTGGTTCCATGGCTCTGGCGCTGCCATTTTGTTAAAGAAAAATTCATAAAAATTTTTTTTATACTTTGATGTATGGAAAATAAATAGGAATAAATAGATTTTCATTTACGTTTTTTATATTTTTGAAAAAGAATCACAAAAATTGGCTTTTTTGGGGGGCTCTAGAGTGTTGTAGCCCCTTAACCAAGTTACCTATTAATATTGAGCTACGGTCGCATGATGACGACGACTGCGAACCCGCTTTCCCACCCTGACCAATCGCTGGTACTCGGGTTCCGAATCCCTGCACCGTAAAAGGTATTTCACCTATATTTGCCATGACGGCTTGAATGCCATTGTCCAAAGTCTCAGCCAGAATAAATCTGTTGCCCACCGTCACCACGTGGAGGTGCTCTGGGAGCAGGTACAGATGAAATACTTCTCAAAAATGACGAAATGTTACAAAGGGTGTTTTGGCTTAGAAATTGCAAATAAAAAAAGTGATTGGGTTCTCCAAAAGATATGTAATACGTGTTTATATAATGTTGCAAAAAGGGGAAGTATCACCGAGGGGAAAAAAACGTAAGAGAAAACCATTGCACAGAGTCTTTGAGAGTAAAAGAGTCCGGTATCACAAGCAGAGGTAGTAATTGAATTGTTTTTGCAGCTCTAACAAATTGTTTTGCGAGGTAAAAAAACTTATACCCTCCTTAAAATAAAAAATTTAATTGTTTTTTAGACTCTTGATTGATCAAGAATTTTATAGTAGAACGTCATAAATCAAGAAAACAGCTCAAAAAGCAGTTTTTATGGGGAATTTTAATGCATTTTTGAGTTTAGGGAGGATTTGAGACTTGACGGATCATTTCTGACCACGGATTTGTATTCAGTGGGTCAAACTACTAAAAAAATGTTCATATTATTTTAGTTCCGTAGACCGAGGGGTGGATACGTCTAGCAAAAGTG